CAGAAAAGATGAAGCTCATGTGGAAGCATCCTCAGGTAGTGTAGATTCAAGTTTGTTCAAATCATGCCCCCAGTGGTAGGGTGGGGTCACAATGGCTGATCAAAGTTTTACATAAGAATACATCTTAGGAAAAATCTTTTTTAAAATTATTTTCTCAAGATCAGCAAAGCCTAGGGGAAAGTAGAGGCCATAATGGGCAATCAAATCTTTACACAGAAATATATAGGAAAAACCTTTGAAACTCTTCTTCTCAAGTATGGCAAAATTATACATGACTGTATGTTTTTAGGTCACCTGAGTCACGAAGGTGACTTATTGCTATCTGTTTTTTTCCGTCGTCGTCCGTCGTTCGTCGTCAATCGGTCGTAAACTTTTGAACATTTTAAGCTTCTTCTCTGCAACCACTCAACCAATTTTGGCACAAAGCATCTATGGGTGGAGGGGAACAAAAATCGTGAATTTGTGAATTTCATGATCCCTCCCCCGCTGGGGCCTGAGGGGCGGGGCCAAAACCAAAATCAATGCAATCTTTAGCTTCTGTAGTCCTATACTTCTTTACTCCTGGACATCAAGCAGTCAAACTGTTGGCATGATTGTAATCAACATTGAGTCCTCTACCAAAATTGTGAAATTCATGGCCCAAGGGTCAAGGGTTCTAATGCTAGGGCGGGGCTATATAGATTATATAGTAAAAAAGCATTATTTCTTTGAAAATCTTCTTCTCTGCTCCTGGGTATTAAATAAAAAAACTTTATGTATAGTTATGATGAACAAGAGTGTCTCTTCCAAAATTTTGAATTTCATGACCCCAGGGTCAGGGGTTCTGAAGTTAGGGCGGGGCTATATAGATTATTTAGTGAAAATGCATTTTTCTTTGAAAATATTCTTCTCTGCTCCTGGGCAATAGATAAACTAACCAAGTACATAGTTATGTTGAATAAGGCCTCCTCTTCCAAAATTGTGAATTTCGTGGACCCTGGGTTGGGGGTTCTGGTGTTAGGGCGGGACTCTATTGATTATATAGTGAAAATGCTTGCATTCTTGAAAAATCTATTCTTTTGCTCGTAGATATAATGCCAATGATTTAAGTTAGGGAATAACTTTCTTCTAATTTGGTATTTGCGACCGTTAATGCTGATTTAACGGTCGCAAACTGAGTTTTACCGGCGACGCGTAAGCGGAGCCGGTAAAACGGATGTTTGCGACCGTTAAATCAGCATTAACGGTCGCAAATACCAAATTAGAAGATCAGTTATTCCCTTTCTAATGCAATCCATGCATTTTTTTGTTGTTTACATCTTATTTTGTTGAGTTTCGTTATATAAAATACGTCACGGAGCATTGTGTTTTTGCGTCGCTCTATTATGACGTCACAATGAAAAGCTTTCTGTCTCGTTAATGCTCGTTTTACTGCTGCAAACATCAGTGCATTAGCCAATTAAAACGTGTTTTACCAAACAATTGCATTAGAATACATATTTAATGAGGAAGAAAGGTTCCTCTTCCAAAATGATTAATTTCAGGGCCCCTGGGTCAGGGATACCGGGGGGGGGGGTACTTAGTCTGAAAATAAATTAATGCTTTGAAATATGCTCTTTGGAATTAATCAACCATTTATGATGAAATAAATTTTATGATAAAATTTTGAAATATGTGCTCTAGGGTTAGTGATTCCTGTGGGGCGGTATGCGTAACTGGTGGTTATAAAGTGGAAATGCATTTTCTCTTTGTTACTCTGATCTACCTCTGGGTATTTAGTAACCAATGAAAGTAAGCATGTTAAGTGTATAATTATGATAAATAATGGTGCCTCTTTCAAAATTGTGAATTTCATGGCTTTTGGTTTAAAACACAAACCAAATTCAATTGCCGGAAAAATGTTACATGATACTCAGTGACCTATAAGGCCCGTGGGCCTCTTGTTTCTGGGAATTTCCGTAATTTTACACTTAAATTTTTGGTCATATCTTGAATATAGAAATGAACAAGCTGTCAGCGCAACTCCTCATAAACCGCTGCACACAATTTTGTCAAACTTTGCAGATATTTAGAACACACTGTGTAGATGTGCATATTACCAGGGTAAGTTCGTCAATGTAAAGGGAAACTACTCAAATAGTTAACAGTTCTAAATCACAGAAATTTTGGATTTCATTTGCGCTCCTTTTAAGATTAGGCTTAAAGAAATCCGTTCTCATCCATGCGGTGTTGTTTTTCTCGATCATTCGTTTTCTACGAATTTACACATTAACGGCATTTTCCCGCTTTGGTAGCATAAAAACATTTCTTCACAGTTTTATTGTTCATAACATTTATCTCAAAGACATTCATTTAACATAAGTATGCTGATTTCTTTCATTCTTTCCTATAACTGTATTGTTGTCATGCAGACGATTTGGTTTGTTTAGCAGAGGGTGATAATTCGAAAAAGAAACGAAAATATGAAATAAGTCACGAACGTAAAGGACAGATTTCGAAATTAAAGAAAATATCTGTTAAAGTAACTAATTTATTATTCCTTCAAAAAGTAGTCTGGAAGCGGGAAATATACATGCAAAGACAGCTAAAGTAGTTCCGGCTGCTTAGTGCATGCGAACTCTAGATTTTATTGATGTAGTTATCAAAATAGTTTTTTATCCAAATCAGAATCAAGTATTTTATAGAAATTAAATGATTTAGAATTCACATGGGAAGTCTCAAAGTTTTGTTAAAACGAAAGTCGTATGATATATATAGAATATCTGTAATTGCGTGATTTGATATTGGCTTTATCTAACTCGTTGTAATGGTGCATATATCTCGGCAAGCCTCGCGAATATATACACAATTTCAACTCGTTGGATAAAGCACAACAAAATAGTATCTTGTGCACTCTCTTAACAGACCATATTGAAAATTTTGTGAAATTTAACAAATCTATTAATATACTAAGCGTCTTGTTTTTATTGGTATTAAGTGTTTCCCTTGACTAAAATAATTAATGAAATTCTAAACAGTACCTGCAAATTTTCAGAATTACAATGAATATCATAGAACTTTGAATTAAACTACGTCTATATACAATCTTACAAATTTGTATTAGCGCGTGTACATGTACGTACAGGAGAAAATTATATAACAAAATAAAAGTAAAATTTTAAAACTTGGCATAATTTTTACTGGTCATAAGGACAGAAGACGTAAACAACAATAAACTTCATGTATAACCGGTATATAGCAGTGGAACTCCACAATATGCAGTGTTTATTAATTGGTATAGATAGCGATTATTGATCACTAATCAATTTTAAAACAAAACCTTTCAGCAGTAACATAAAGAAAAAACACGGTGCCCTGATGTTGGATCTGGTACGTAGGAGGAGTAAGCATCCCGGACCAGTTGACCGGGAATGCCCGCCGTTAGCCTTACCTATTGACCAGAATATCTACCGTCCTATTCAGTATGAAAACAAAGAACACCATTTTGTATGAAACAAGTCCGCAAAAATACGGCCCACTATTAGCTTATATTTGCTAACAAGGTCAATATAACGGCCATAGCTAGAGCCCCCTTTAGCTTTCTGTATTAACGTTAATCACGGAAGTTTACATACACGGTTTTGAATTCATATATTTTTTCACCATATTTGCCCGTACTGATCCCTGATAAAAATTTTCAATTATTTTCCGTATCAAAGGTTCATTTAAGTAGTTTAACATTTAAACTTTATGTATTTCCTTGTAACCAGGAAACTTAATGTCATGTGCTTGATTAATTTACTTCATGTTGCGAGTGAATTCCTAAAACAGTCGAAATGAAGATGAAGAACCGCATTGCTCAGTGCATTTGTATAATTGGCATCATTTCGACGTATACCTTTCATTTTATCACATGAATGTTTTATTTTATTTTTTTCCCCATTTTTTATGAAGAAACGTATTAACATTTGATATTTGTTTCAGAGTGTACAATGAGGAGAGGGAATGGGATTCGTTTGTATTGACTCTGACTTGGCCAGTCACGATGTGTAAATTTTGTAATTTGGTTGTAAGTACATGTATATTTTTTTTAAAAATCACCTTTGGCAATTGCTTTGGATACAGTTATTTAAAGGGGAAATGATCAAATCTTGAAACAGAAATTGAACAGAAAAGAACTTTTAAATTATCTACATGTACTTTAATTTATTTCCTAGCATTCTTCCTTTACGTTGAATATCTTTTATACCTAATGTTATACCTAAAGTGTATTTCGATAAAATTTCGAACGTACAAGAAAACAGTAATACGCAAAAGTCTCTTTTTTTTCTCAGAGGTTGGCGTTAGGAAAGGGGTTAATTGCCCAGCTCTTTACAAGGCAAAACTACTAAAACTTTTAAATTTATAGAAAAAGTTTCCTGATAAATATTTTTCTTTAAAAGGACAAAAAGTGTGTTGTTCCTGCAAAGATGTGGGAAATTCATGGTCTTTGGTAAGTAGGCAAATATAAAGCAAGATAACATTGAAAAAGATAAGGGATTTTCATTTTAAGCACCACAAAGGCAGAATAAATAATCAATACTCCTTTTAAATACAGGAAAAAGTTTAAAAGTTATGTCTGTTGAGTTTCACACCAATTATTAAGATATTCCATTACAAAGAAGCATATGGCTGTCTAATTTTAAAGACAGAGTAATTCTACATAAAATTCCATTCATTGTCAACCCTTTGTCGTCAATCAAGAAAAAAATTCTGAAGAAGTCGTTTCTCTCGTGTTCATATGGATAATCATGCTTGAAAATGAACATATAAATGTTACATCTACTAATAATTAGGAAGCTTTTAAGGTACATTTTAATAAGTCTTTGTCAACAAAAGTAGCAAAATAGACCTGTACAAGGTACAGTACAGCAAAAACTTGAAAGCTTATTTATAGTCTGTTACTGAAACGAAAATGTATTTCTTAACTAATTTATTTGACTTGACTCAATAATAAATTGTCGTGTGGAAGAACTCTGATTAAGGAGTACCCGCCAGATACACGTGTCAAGAAAATTCCTGTTATACTTGAATAAAATGCTAATTCATGACACTTAAACCAATTAGTTTAATACTAAACAAACAAGCAATTTATGATTAACATTGTATTCGTTAGGCCTGGTTACAGTAACGGTGATTGTGCTCCACGGGGTTGCAGCCTATCCCATCCATTCAAGAAAAGTGAAATAAAGGTTCGTATTTTTGGCCTAGCCTTTCATTCATATTGGCGCTATGGAACAGTTCATAATTTCTCATCAAACACATTTCATTTGCATTTAAAAAATCAAATGATCATAACCTTTAAGTGCAGATTTCATATTTCACAGGTATATAAATTCAGTCAGATGTAACCATTTTGATCATTGTCCTTGAAAATTGATTTGCATTTCAGAAACAACGGTTTTCAATAAACTGTTCTGCTGGGACATCTGAGTTTCACAATCATATCTTGTTAGTAATTAAAAGCTGAAGTTGTTTGCATCCCTCCACATATCCAGTTCATCTGAAGCACCCTCGATAGACCCTGTCCGTATAATTCCAACCCTCTGTTTCTGGAGTGTTGTAAACTCGGATGGGACCTATCCTTCCCTGTCTCTTCAAAGGTCTTGCAATATTCCGGAAATTCTATTCTGTCTTTTTGCATATGGAGTGAACATTTTTGGTAGACAAGTTCTTCAAGTTTTTGATATCCCAAAGGCAATTATATATTGAAAGGAGGAATGAAAGAAAAGATAAATTTAATGTCATATATTATTGATGTAAGCACACCCCTTACTTAGCCACTTTTTTAATATACAATCACGGGAAGATTGAGGCAGATGAGGCTTAAGACGAGAGAAGTACATGCCTTCTCTCTATATATATACATGACGATATTTTTAAAACAGCCTATAGAGACAGAAAGGTTACATTATCGATAACATGTACAAGGAATGAATACAAGAATACTCGAAAATTTAAGGGAAATCATGTCGATCTCTTATTTTGAAATTTTTTTTTTTAAAAAGTGGGGATCAGTGCCTTTAATGTCAGTGCAGCTAAATTTTGAAGCCTGTCTTATCAAAAGAGTTTAATCTTATGTGATGATTACAGGTACTACAGACAGATGATAATTGTATTTTCTTTTCATGCGCCCGGATCGGTGGATCCAGGGCGTATATTGTTTTTGTCCTGTCTGTCTGTTTGTTTGTTTGTTTGTCTCGAACAATAACCTTCACCATAAGTTTTGAACCATGAAAGATAGAGACTTCATATTTGGTATGCATACTCCACTAATTAAGCTCTTTCAAATGACATCAAGGTCATTGACCTTGTGACCTTAACTGTGGCCTATATGCTAAAAATATATTTTTTCTGCAAACTTTAACCTTCGCCATAACTTTTAAACTATTAAAGATATCGACTCCATATTTGGTATGCATACTCCACTAATCATGTCCTCATAAATGACACCAAGGTCAATGACCTTGTAACCTTGACTGTGACCTATATGCTAAAAATAGCTTTTTTGAACCCTCCCTATAACTTTTGAACCATGAAAGATAGAAACTTCATATTTGGTACGCATACTCCACTAATCAAGCTCTTTCAAATGACACCAAAGTCAATGACCTTGTGACCTTGAGTGTGACCTTAATACTAAATATAGCTTTTTCCGAACTGTTGCCGCGGGGCGCACAGTGTTTCACAAACATATCTTGTTTTTATACTATAAATGAGCAATTTAAAGCTTAGGTAGTATAAACCACTATGAAGTTAATCAAAACGACATATTGTACACTGTAAAACTTACATTTTTCTCTTTAGGTCTTGTTAGACAGACTAAACAAATACTGGCCAAATCAGCTGCCTGAAAGACCTCATTATGACTTCTGGTAAGTCTAACATATACTTTCAGTTTGTCACTAGTCAGATTTGGTCAGTACCTCAAATTTCAAAATTGAATTATAATTATTTAATTTTAATGAAAATTTTTAATTATGCAAGTTATAAAACATTCTGGTAGAGGGATATTTAAAAGAAAGGTCAATATATCAAAATGTACATTCATTATTGACTCAAAACATTTTTCTTTCATTCTTTAAAATTAAACAATATCATATTTAAACAGATCAACATTTAAATCCTTTAAAGCTTGATACAAAAAATATCTAATTGCCTTGATTTTTTATACACAAAAATGCAAGCATGAATGAAACAAAAATTAAAAAGACACCAAAGGAAAACAAAAACCATATACTTTTAAAATGATTTTTATTTTCTATAATAAATATTATTCAAACGATTATGC